CAATTCATAGCATTGTGGGAAAATTCGGCTACCAGTTCTTCATCAGCTTAGACGAAATAGGGTGGATACATCTTATATTACTGATTTACTGGTAGTCTCGAAACTCTACTCTAATACGAAAATAATTCTATGTGAAATTCACTGGGAAGGTAAGGTCCACTCATAACATTGTGGGAACGATTCAACTCCTTAAACGAAATCGGATGGACACATTTCATAGTTTTATTATCACATGTAGTGTTTTAGAGTTAATTTCTATTCCAATAGGTCAGACTCCTGCCTGCTTAAGGGTTTGTACTATGTTTTATATGTTCTTTCTCCTGCAAGTATGCCCATTCAAGACGGACAATAGATCCATCTGCCCTGGGCCCGTCATGTTTGCAGGACCGCCGAACAGATTCGTCTACCTCGGCCCATTTGGGCCTGTTGGAGGCTGCCTGCGAGCGTCTGCTATCGGCTTGCGCCGGCCGCGTCTACCAACCACTCCAACTACCTGCGCCTAAGAGCATAGGCGAAAGGCTAGGCCCTGCGGCTCAAATCAGCCAGCGACGCCATTTGCCGGACATTAGCCCGAGTCCTTCTTTCTGCGGCGGTGGATTGTTGAGTCCTGTGACTGGCTCCATGTCTGGCCCAGCTCGAACTGCCGCGTTGGCTCGTCAGACCAGCTTGTCTGGAGTGTATGCCAATTCCTCAGGTCTGAGTTCCAAATCCTTCGGCCTCGTTTGGACAAAATGGAAGGGTATGCAGAAAGGCAGAAAGCGAACCAAGTGCATCCAGCTTATTCGGCCTCTGTTTGGGAACAGAAGACACCGAACAGCAGACTGCTTTAATGATCTGTGGTCTTGCGGGCCTTCAAGGCGGCGAAATAAAGCGCTCGACTTTGCAGGCTTGCACAAGAACCCCAATTTCCAGGTAACCAGACGAGGACGGAGGTTCTCAATAGAGGTGGATATCCAGGGTGATTGGGTTTCGAAAAATCTCAAAGGCAGCATTGGTGGGAGACTTTCGTTTCGTATGAAAGGGCATGAAGATGAGATTCGTAGGTCAATCGCACAAGAAGGCGACGGCCGATTCCCGTTGTACTGCCGCCGTTTGGCTCTAATAAGACGTTCATGTTGACACAATTCACAAGACATTCTCGCGCTCTTCGGCTAAAAATGAGCTGAGCCGTCGTATGATGAACATTATCAGAGCTGGAACTCATTTATGCAAAGATGTCAAGTTAAGAGTAATTTAAGAAGATCGCCTGGCTCTATCTTATTTCTTGCATAAATTCCTAACTAAAAAACGAAAAGAAATTTACATAAATATATACAAAATGACTTGGTTTCCCGTTTTCGCTCGATATAATGATTGACGATTATGGTATATCTGCTAAAAAACTTAAAAGATTGACGAATACTTTGCATGTGAGGAATGGTGGTAGAAAATTGAGTAAAAATTATTTATTGGAGAGACTTCCGTTTCTTATGTAAGTCGAAGCTCGACCTCACCAGAAGAGGACAGCTGTTTCTCGTTGCTCTGCAGTCGTTTAGCCTTAATCCGAAGTTTAGGTTGACGCAGGCCACGAGGCATACGCCCCTGTTTCTGATGAAAACATGACTTTCCATTTCGAAGGAAAAGTTGGTTGGAAGGAATTCGTGAAATGGAATCAGGCTTGGCGCGAAGTGAAGGCTATTGTATTTTGCCAAGAAGTCCCTGGCTAACCGTCCTGCGACCCAGATGAACCTGTGAAGACTGGTGAGCCAAGGACTTCTTTGCATATACCAACGATCTTTACTCAGTGACAAGC